TGAAGAGAGTAAAAGTAGTAAAGTACTGATTGTGAGGAAAACAAGGCGGGACACTGTTGAACTCAAATTGTTCATCACAGTCCTCAGAGTGCATTTAAACAACTGGATTGGACCCAAAAAGGCATAAACATTGATTGCAAATGCTTAAATAATTTGGGCTACGCGGACGATATAGTTCTTATATCGGATAGCCTTGGAGAGATTAAACTAATGATGAACGACTTAAAGGAGGTGTGTGCAAGAGTCGTGCTAAATATCAACAAGGAGAAATCAAAATTTATGATAAATCTTGTTCCCAGCTCTAACATCAATATTGGGGATAATGAGATTGAAAGAGTTCACAGCTATGTATATCTTGGCTATGAGGTTCGTGTATCGAGAGATAATCAAACAAGCGAACTAAACAGAAGAATCTTAGAGACATCTTCGAGAGAAAAGGCCAAGAAAGGCTTTCAATCAATGCGTGTTTCCGGTTATGACATAACACTCCGAAACTTTAACATTAACGGTAACCACTGCCAGGAGGGTCCAAGTAGCGCAAAGATAGATGGAGAGGTCGATCTTGGGTCTAACTCTGAGGGACTACATACGAAATGAAGACCTATGAAGAAGAACTGGCGTAAATGATGTGGTCAACATTGTGGCAAAGCTTAAGTGGAACTGGACGAGTCATGTCGCGCGAATGAAGAATGAGCAGTGGACAAAACGTTTGCTTGAGTGAAGACCGCGAGCGAACAGACGAAGTAGACGTCAAAAGAATGACCAACAATTGGATACAAACAACACAGAATAGGAAAGGTCTATGTCCAAAAATGGAGGCAGAGGGCTGCTTGGTGATAATAATCATAATAACTTGATCTAATCTAAATTACGACAGATTTGTCTAATGATAATACGTCTTTGATTGTTGACAATGCCTCGTCTTCCTCTTCATTTTTATTGGAATCGATATATTTTTACTGGTATCACTTTTATACCCACTTTTTGGGTATTTACCCCGGCCCAGGATAAACACCCATTTTAGAAATACCTACCCGCCAGATATTTACCCAGCGCCCATCACTGTTTTGAAACACTTATTCCAGATGAGTAAACATGTTGTTGAAACTGACAATTCAAAATTGTCAACAATCATTTCAAAATATTTTTATAAATGTCAAANGGCAAGTCCTAAAATATTCCCGGGTTTGACAGTGGCGATGTTAATAAACACCTTAGCATGTCTCATTCCAGGAGAACTGGTACACAGTAGGCGAAGCCTCTCTTCAGCCCACAGTCCAATCCTATATCTGGCCATCGCAAATTATACACCAACTACTGGTTCAGGCACCACAAACGCTTCAGCGCTGCCATCTCGTGCTAGCTTATCTACCGCTTCATTGCCAGCAACTCCAGAGTGACCCGGGACCCAGATCAGAGAGACTGTGTTATCACAACTCAGTGTGTTTAATGTTCTCTTACAATCATTAACCAGAGCCGACACCGTTTTCACGGCTTGCAGCGCCTGGAGANCAATCATTTCAAAATATTTTTATAAATGTCAAATAGACTTTTTTAAAGAAATTGATTTTTTAGTAATTTTTAGCAGTCGTAGATAAAATGTTGTATCTCACACGTGGGCTAGAACATATTACAGTATTCGTGTTCACTCGGTCTACGACCTCGTCGTGCAATTCTCCACACTCGTACAGTAATTATGTTTCTAGTCCACTTGTAATATAAATAACTATTTTGCAATAGTAGTAGATTTAATGTTCGAAAAAGGATATTGATGCTTCTATCAATCTTGTAAAACGTTCAATTACAGTAAGAATGTACGTTGAACCATATGAAGGGGT